CCCCCCCCCCCCCCACACACACACACACTCACACACACACGCACACACAGACACGGACACACACACCCTATGCAGTCGGTGAGGAAACCAATCTCGCGTCGCCTTGTGACATAGCCCATCACGCGCTACGCGGGAAAACGAGCTACGGCGTGTGGCGCGGACAATGGGACAAAAGCCCAAGTACTTTAGTAGACAATCTTTGGTATACCGGAAGCTCTATATCTCGCCGATTCTCGCAGGAAACGTGATGATTGTTGCTATTAGAAACCAGAGAAGCTTGAGCATTCGACTTGACAGCTACTCATCAGGTAGGAAAATTCATTGTTTATATGTGGCTATTCTTTTTTTGTGAACCTGGGGGTAAGCAGACACAATGAAACTAGCGCTAATATAGAATATTTTTATATTAACGTTGTTCCATTCTCAAGTTGAAAACAAGAAGGCTCAAATAAGGCTTATAAGGCAGGGGATAGTTAGTTAAGTTAAGCGTGTTGGCAAAAGCAAAGCCAAAGGCAAAACCAAAGTTCTCCAACTTGGGATAGTCTCACTATCTTACTAACAACTCCTTGGTAAGACTTTTCAACACAATGGCAAAGGGAACTTAAAATCTAGGGATACTGCTTTGTGAAAGTTGGAAAAGTTTATTATTTTCTGTAGAAATTCCACTTTATTGACCATATTATGCCATATATATTATGATATATTCCATACACAGAGATCTAATCTAATCTAGATCTAGAAGTCTAGATCCTAGAGGATCTAGATCTAGATTTATCTAGCTTGTTCATTTTCGTCTAACCAAGTTTAAAAAAAAATTCTAGCCCATTGAGAAATTTAGTTACCGATGCCCACGATATTTGCCTGGCATTTCTGCAGGCCAGCGACTAAACAAAAATGTTAAAAAGAAAATATCTTGACCCATGCAGTCATTAAAAAAAAATTCTCTTTGTACCCTTATAGTGGCTATAGGCTACTAAAAACCACTCTTTGAATGCATACACAGGATCACTAAAATAAATGACTACAGTAGCATTACAAATTGCTCATTTTGAGACAGGGGCACCACTCTGCCCCCACATAATTTCAGTAGGCCTATTAGATTTAATTCCCCGGCTGTCTAGATGTACGTGCTCCACGTAAGTCTTGAAAAATACTAACCTCGTCTTTTGAATTGTGTTTCTTAGGCGAACGTTAAACAGTGGTGTTGAGAAAAATGTGTCTACTTTTAAATGTTTTAAGTGTGCTGTATCCCCTATTACAGGGTGATCGAAAAAAAACGTAACAACTTTTTTTCTGAATATCTCGCGCAAAAATTGTTCTAGAATGCTGTAATTTGGAACAGACATAATTCATTCAAAAGGAATTTGTTTGATATAAAATCCACGAAGAAGAAACATGTTTTGAAAACAGAAACGGCATTAAAAAAAAGCACCCAAAAATACAAAGTTCACCAATGTTTTAAAATCCTGTAAAGGAAGTCGTGAAAAGATTAATTTACCTTTTTCTTTATTTTCTCTTTGACTTTAAATTTCCATCCCTGTGACATTTAAACAATATTTAATTTCTTTTAAAGAGTTTTAAAAACCTAATGATTTCATTCTGAAATTCCTAGAAGCAGTCCTGCGCATTCCTTCCTTTGGACTCGATACATTTTTAATGCGTCGTTCGAAATGTTCAGTGGCGCCCTTACACAAGGACCTGCTACACCATGAGTTTTTAAAGCCACATACACTGTACATGTTCACTAAGAAATGGCTTCAGAGACAATAGAGTGGGGGTGCCCAATAGACAGCATTTTTTAAGTTGACATATCCCGCGGGGTGAAAATGGGCATTGCACTAAACCAAATGTCATTGAGGAAATGATCCCTCTTTACAAGACAATCGAGGAATCATGAACACATTGCTATGCTCTGATACAAGTCATCTCGGCCTAGCGAAGATGAACATGGTATAGTCGCTGGTTAACATATGCCTGTTGACGTGTTGGAAAGTCCTAGGTGCAGATCGTCTACGGACAGACGTCTCATGGGACTCGGCTTCTGAAATCAGCACTCTGTTGACGTTTAAAAGGCTGCACATGGTGCATGTTCGACCTGAAGTGGTATTTTTTTAAAGAACTTTTTAGTTCTGATTCGCTATAGATCCAAACTGACGGAACTTCTCTACTCATGACGCTAAAGGTCTTGAGGGCACCTAAGCATTCTCTCCATGCCGTGCGCAGAACTTACGAAATGTCAAGGATGGTGGTTTGTGGAGAGGTAATGTTCTCAGCAGGCAAACAAAATTTGGGAAAAATGATATCTGCAGACTTCTGTTTACTTGTTAGACTACAGTAGCTTACAATATGGCACGATGGAGAGCTTGGTTTTGGATGGTGTCCTTTGAGTTCTTTGTAGTTTTACTGCAAATGTTTTGTAGAACAAGATAAAATCAAAAACAGCTCTAGTATATCCTAAATAAAGGCCTCTCAAGGTATTCTTGCCTGATCCCCAGTTGGTACTAGCTAGTCGTTTAATGAGATTAAGTCTCTTCATAGCCTTCTTCCTAAAGTTGTTGGTGTGCTGTTTCAAGTTAAGCTTACTGTCAAGTTGTACTCCAAGATACACTGGGTTATTCTCTTTTTTCAAGTTGGTACCATCTATTTTGACAGGGATTTCTGCATTAGTAAGGTTATAGCTTCTTGTAAAAACAGAGTAGACTGTTTTTTTCACAATTTACTTTCATCTTCTCTTAACGGCAATAGGTTCCTAGAGAATTAATATAATCTTGCAGTCTTCGCCTGCTTATTGTTGTTGAGTCTCCAGTGTGCCAAAGGACCAGGTCATCAACAAAAAGGGCTTTGGGTTGATAAACTTTTGTTTGGCGTACCGTGTGGTGTTGATTGTTTTGTGTGGTTTATACTCTGCAGTTACTTTGTTGTATACGAGTATAATTTACCTTCTACATAATATGTCAGAAGTTTGTATTGTATTTTTCTTTTTAAGTGGTGCCATTTTCATATCTTCTCTGATAACATTTAGTTTTTACAGATTTTTTTTTTTTTTTTCAGGAAAAACAGTGTACATTCATATTCTTTTCGTGAGTACTCATGTTTTCCATTTTTGGTCAATTTTAGCGAGTACATAACCTTTATTTTTGACTTAAATACTTGATTTAAGTGTAGGAACCAGCAACCAAACTGGGAACCATCTGCTACAAGCCTATCCAATGCTCAAGGCACTTAAAAGAAAATATTGGCCCAACCCTTGGCAGAGAGACCCAAAACACTATGGGTGCCTGGAGGATCTGCGGCAAACAGCAGCTTTCACGCTAGAGACTGGAATTTCCATTTAGAGATGAGCAGGAAGAAAGTGTAGGAAACTGTGATAATTACAACTTCTTTCACTTTTTTTCCTTCAATTTATAGTAGCCTATTCATTAGTGGCTTGCTTCCCTGTTGTCAGCATGGAGATGGAGGTGATACAAACAAATAAAGTAAGAGACTACCTACAAGTATACACATCCCTGAAAGATTCAAAGAATAGCTTTGATAGTGATAAAGAGATGTGTCAAGAGAATAGACTGAACAGGGTGCAAGAAATACTTATGATGATATTACTCTCTTGTTATTGTTATATTGTTATGAAAACATGCAATTTGAAAAATCAATTATATAGCTCTTTGTAACACATTTTCACATTTTTCACTTCAACTATTATCACACACAGACAAAGAAGGTACGATTTTGTCTTCAGTTAGTTTGTATCCACTGTTTGTTTGTTTTTTCAGATGAGGTCTTAGGAAAAAAGTCACAATGGAGATTGTATACGTATATACGAAAAAGAGGTCCGAGTTCGGACGACAATGCAACTTTACAGACAGACCTGCTGAACTGCATGTGGACATCCTCCCTGATGACTCTGCTATGGAAGAGTTTATCGAGAGGGATCCAGTGGATATTGGCATTCAGTGTGTTCAGGAAATGTCAGAGCATGATGTGAGAATATCTTATAATTTGTTATCACTTTTTGAAGACAAAATCAATAAAGATTTTATTTCTTTTTTCCCTTTGTATTTCCTTTCAGCTTTCTATTCTTTCTCAGTGTCTTTTCTTCTCTCTTTTGACAAGACTTTTTCTTAGCACTTTTTACTTAATTTGGACTAAAGTAACTGGAAATGGAATTTAAAAAGACATTTTTTATAAACTGGGTGAGTAACATTGTTTGGTTTGTGAGTACAAACAGATTTAGAGAGGGTGAAGAACACAGCCACATGAAATGGCTCTTTGTTTTATTTTTGTCTCCAGTACATTGTAACCAAAAAGTGACTACTGGATAAAAGAAAAATACTGTCTAAATCCCGATATGTTAAGTAATAGTTATAACAGGTATTGTGTAATCTACATCATTCCACATTTCCCCATGTAGTAATTGTCCCAGTGGTTGATATGTTCATTTGATAGATCTCTGTAATTTTCACTTGTTCACAACACTTAATTTAAAGTTCTCAAGACTTGGATTTGAATTTAGGGCACAGAGCTAAATATAGGTCATACAGTCACTGAATAACAGTTCTAGTCTCTTTCATGTTCTGATTTTTCTACCATATTGGCTAACAGGTGGTGTGTCCGTTGGGGGCTGCTGATGTTTGAATAGACTCCCGAGCCGAGCATGGCTTCACGTATAAGGTTGTCATGAGTCATATTGTAAACGGTGTATTGCCCCCAGGTTGTGGTGTTATGTTGTGATAGGCTTTGGGGTAGCCATGAGATGGCTCCTGTTGTGGCAAACGTTGTGCCCTGTTTCAATGGTCACTTTGTAGGAAGGCGGATTGGGATGTCTGTTGAAAGCGATGCCTGGTTGGCCTTGGTCTTGAATGTGGACAGAATCACTAGGGCAAAATTCTGGAACAGATTTAGCACCGTGTCTCTTGTTGTAATGATGCTGCATGGTTTCTTTACTTTTTTCCTCCCTTTGACAAACAGAGGGGAGACCGACAGGACTTGGTTGTATGTTGTCCTGTAAGATGGGAATTTGGGTTTTAAGTTTCCTTCCCATGAGAAGGTCATTTGAGACATGCCCATTTTGTAATGGGGTAGCCTGGCAGAGTTGTTTGGTTTGTGAATACAAACGGTGTGATTTAAAGCAATTTGTGTAATGCTGTTTTCCACAATTCATTATTATTATTATAAATTTATGTGTCATGATGTCTTTTCAGTATCATTTTTAAAAAGTATTTGCTTTTGTTACAGTACACTTTATACCCTAGGGTTATGAATTACGAACTTTTCAGACCTGCCCTATATTCATTTTGGGATAACTTCTTTATTCAGGCCAACACAGAGAGATTTGAAACTGGTGCCAGGGGAATCAACCATACAGAGGGTGGATGGCCAAAAGACATCAATCCCAATGAAGTGGAGCAGGTCACACGTTACAGGAAGAAAGTTGAGAAAGATGAAATGTACATTGGCGCTGTCATGCAGCTGGGCTCTGTAAGGACACTTTTGAAAATCTTTTCTTTCCCTTTAATCATTGTACATTGTTACTTTCTTATTTTTTTTTTGTACTTCATGTTCATAATCACATATTTGGTGTTCTTATGACTGTATTTGTGTATTTCCGGAAGTAGTTTAGAGAAATGTTGACGAAGACTAGAGAGAATTGAATTGAACTTCATTTGTTGTGCTATTTGCCGTTCACAATATATAAAACACAACATATACAAACAATATTCATATGAGTATGAATAAAAAATATACAAAACATGTTAAGCTTTAAGCTCTCTGTTCTGTTCTAGTATGCTTTTGGTCTAGAAAGCACAACATAAAGGAATTTTACCAACTGTTTTAGAATAGACACTATGCCCAAGTATTATAAACAAAGTGTTAGCATTTCGTTTTGTAAAGATTTTTAAAGGAATATGTGAGGCATCATGGTGAAATCAAGTACTCATCAAAATAATGAAATTGAAGAAACCAGCATTTTCCCACATGTTTGGCAATTTTTATTGAATTTTAAATTTTGGCTCCACGTCTTGTATGTCTATTTAAAAACACATTGCTGTGTGGATTTTATTGAAAATCGTTGATTAAAAGCACACAAAATATTAATTTACAGTTTCTGAGGAATCTTACGCTTTGAAAGTCACCAATCTTTGGTGGCCATTTTCTCAATAATTTTCCTGAAACCAGGCAACCATTACCTTCTTCAATCCCAAATTTCTTGACTGGCATTTTAAAAAAAATTGAAAGCAAGACAAACTAACATTCTTCAAGATGATACCCATAACTCTATGTGCCCAAAAACTTGCAAGTGCCTGATTCCACCACGCCGTGACACATACTTTTTGCATAAATCCTAATAAATAGTACAAGCATTATGTGAAATTTGTCCTTAATGTTTCAATTTTTTCTTCCTTCAGATCAGACATTTCTCTAGCTGTGTAAATTTTTTCTTAGTTCTTTCTTTGGGGGCTCTTGTTGTCTAGAGGTTACGGTGTTCAGCTCTCATTCATTAGGTCCCATGTTTGAAACCTGACAGCGGTGGAAAAATTTCTTCGCTAAAATTTTCTCTTTTCACTCTCTTTTCCTGCTCTCTAACCATGTTCTGTCTTCTGTTTTGTCCCCACTTTTTGCTCCTTCCCTCCCTTTGCTCTCTCCTCTTGGCCCCTGACTCTTTCTGTAAGCCTTTCTACTGCTACTCCTTCTTACTGCTGTCTTTCAGCGACACCCCTGATCTTAGGGTAGGTAAGAGGTAAAATCTAACACTTAGCCTTTTTGGATAAAAGCAAAAAATCTTGGAGATCCTGTGCGCAAGCTGCACACATTAAAGATTCCTTGGTGGTCCAAAATCTATAAGAGTAGGCTTTGGGCACCACCCGGGCAAAATTCAAAATTAATTCCCACCAAACTGAAAATGTTTAAGGGAAGACACGTGTGGGTGAGGCTGGGGGTGGGTTTGGGATAAATTTGGGTCAAACTATCGAAAATTAAAAGTTGTGGTTTTTTACTTCTTTGATTACCCTACTATTGACGTTTCATATTTGTATCCATTGAAAAGTGTTTTTATAATGTTCTTGAAGCCACATTTGCCTTTAGGGTGTTCCAAAAATTACACTGAGAGTGTACAGTTTGCCACAATAATTACGTTTATCCCCACAAAACATACAGGTAATTTTGATTTCCTGTTATTTGAACATAGAAAAGCTTAGGCTTTGAAGATTACAATTATCGAAGGGTTTCTTCGGTACTAACAGAAATGAGTGACTACTCGGAAAGGGAATCCCCCTATGCAAATGCACTTTCTTTGTTTTGATTGGGTTGAGTGTCCATGTGGTTGGCCTCATTTTTTCCCGTGCTCATTTGCAATCCTGAAGTTGTTGTTCGCCTGGCTATCAAAGTTCTTTCACACATTTAGAGTAAGTGTCACAGGCATATATATGCTAAGTTTCAATACAGGTGTTTACATTCATTTTAATGTCATTGCATTAAAGTTTTTCTGAACCAATGAAAAAATTACCAACACTACTACCGTACTGAGATATCAAAATGTAGGCACCCTTTAAATCGCCCTTACACACGCCATTTAATCCAGCAAGGTCAAAATCCACTCTTTACCTTTAGCAGGTACATACATCCTCTCCCTCTCTCTCTATAAGGTTTTTTTCCCAAAAAAACTTGTGCAACTTCGTCTTCTGACTCTCTGCTGTGAGAGAGAGAGAGAGAGAGAGAGAGAGAGAGAGAGAGAGAGAGAGAGAGAGAAAGAGACAGAGAGAGAGAGAGAGAGACAGAGAGAGAGAGAGAGAGAGAGAGAGAGAGAGAGTATATGGATAGATACCAGGCTTATTGGATATTGAGATATAAACTTGAAAGTAGGCTCGTGTAATTTTCAAGAAAAAAGAGAGTAGACGTTTTGACACAAAGAATGGGTTCTCAGCTTTTTGCTTTTAGCAGCCAAAGAATACTTTTGGTTGTCAGATAAAAGGATGCCCCCAATATAATATTTATAGCATCGTCTGATGATTTTACAGCCAATGAAAATCTGAGAAATTGTGAAAGACAGCAAGTTTTTTTTTTTTCTTCACACAAATTTTGAGGTTCAGTGTTATACTTTTTGCTCTCTATGTGACATGGTTTGTGAAACTGATTCTAGTCATACATGTGATTTTCTTTAAGGTCATGGAACACTGCATCAAGCAGAACAATGCTATTGACATCTATGAAGAATATTTTGAAGATGTGGATGTTGAGTCCATTGATGAAGCTGCTTCTGCCAAAACCATCAATGTCTTCAGGTGAAAAACAATAATATTTTGTTATACTATTAGTGGTATCCTTTCATTATATGCCATAGTTTGTAATCTGTTGTTGAAGTCTTTGCTGTTCTTTCCCACTTTTTTTTCTGCCCATCTATTTTATTTATTAGAGTGCAGGGTCACTTTCTTCTCATACAAAAAAAAGGGTTCTACCAAAGGACGGACTCTCCTGCTGCTAATGACTGGAATGTTAAAAGTTTAGCCAACTGATCTATACAATGACATGTTGCAGTCACACACCTTTCCGGAGTCCTGGCGACTTGCCACTGTCATTCAAATTCCAGAACCAAAGAAAGACCACATACACCCATCTTACTACAGACCAAAGGCCTTCATGAGCTGTCTATGCAAACTTAAAGAAGAAATGATCTACAGATGACTCGTGTGGTTTCTGGAGACAACGAGCTCACTGAGCAATCTTCAGTACAAATTCAGGAAAACTCAATCCATTCTTGATTACCTGGTCCACCTGGAGACTTCAATACTCGTACATGAGACCTTTCCCGAAAGAGCTCGTCTTTTTCAACCAAGAGAAACTTTTCAACATAACCTGGAACTACGGACTTCTTAGAAACCTACTTGCTCTCAGCCTTTTTAGTCTCCTCCCTGTCTTCATTGGCAATTTTCTTAAGAATCTTTCCTTCCAGGTTTGTGTTGGATCCTCCCTTTCAGACCCCCACCAACAGGAAGAAGGTGTTCCCTATGCAAACATCCTTTCTCCTCTCCTCTTGGAAATTACAATAAATTTCATAATTCAGGCACTCCAAAACAACATAGACAGCTCATTATACGTTGACGGCTTTCTAATATGCTGGCAATCTAAAATTCGTCAACTAAGATCTATAGAAAGACAGCTGCAAACGCAAAGTGGGCTAATGAAAATGGTTTAAAGTTTTACCTTTTATCACTTTGCAGTCACATCTCGCCGATCAGCTATGTTTACCACCCAGTTTCTTTGGATTTTCCCAAAAATGACTTTGCGTTTGATGGCAAAGAATTTTACTATATTACGAGCTTTGTGATGGCAAAGTGTTAACGCGAGGAGTGACCCTTGAGGACCATTTTCTATGTTTGTTGCCCGAGATCAAATCAAGTTAGGCATAGTAAAATCTTTTGATACGCAATGTTATTTTGGTATAGCTACTGCGGTTGCTATGGAAACGGCCACCATCTTGAAAATAAACAATGAATTTCAAATCCCTAAGGCTTTCTTATTTACTGACCTAATTTGACCTTGGTGAGAGTATACCTGAACTAGACCCTATCAGCGTAACATTGAGTTTTTTTCAATAAGTGCAAAAGAAAAAAAAAAGATAATTTTCCCAAAGTGTAAAATAACTTTTCTAAATTTCGATTGCATAATGCCTTGCCAATGGAAAAGTATAATTTTTTTCTCGCAAATATCTCTCTGTTACATTGATGGCAGCCTTGCCATCTATGTTTCCTGAAAGTTTCACGTCGAAAGGATGAAAACTGAGGAAGGAGTAGGGAAAATACTGCAAAAAATGACATTTTGCGAAAAACGACAATTATTGTAAAAATTCACTATATTAACCCAGAGTTTCTCAATTTCTCCACACTTTGTTTTGCCTCCATGAAGCTCACTGTCACAGTTATCTGCTCATGGTCTTCACTGTTTGTTTGAAAAGTAGAAACTTCCTTCACTTGCTCTGCAAAATCAGCATCGGAAAGCACTGCTGATGTTTGTACACTAGTGTCAATGTCCGTAAATTGAAAGGCTGTCTGGCATGGCAGTTGGGCAACTCATAGAGATAAACTGGTTCGTTACTTCAGTTGTAACTAAACAGGAAAAAGACTTGTTGGGCAAGAAAATTGGTTCCTTACAGCCGTCAGTTCATTATTGTATGTTTGCTAAATGCGTCAAAATATAAGTGACACAAAGAGAGAAAAATACGGGGCAAAGAAATGTGTTCTTGATTTCCGTCAGTTCTTTACAAGAGTGTTCCTTATAGGTGTGCTCTACTGTATACGTTACTTACATATTGATATGTTGTCTTTACTTGAAAGAACTGACTGACATTTTTATGCTTTTAAACTATTTTTTCAGAGATCCCAATGAAATAAAACGCACAGCCACTCATATTTCTTGGTTCCCGGATGGCCCAAGAAAGCTTGCTGTGGCCTATTGCAACCTTCAATTCCAAAGTACTTCCCCTGAAACAAGCATGGACTCTTACATCTGGGACGTTGGTATGAATGTCTGAAAAGCTTTACTATAATTCTGTTCTTACTCATTTGAGATTAAGAGAATCCCTCAAGAGACTGTAAGTCTGAAAGGCCAGACTGTCATAAAGGTATCACTTTGATCTTGCTGCATTGGGCAGGTGATCATTTTATGAAATTACTTGTGGCAACACTTTTCATACTTGTAGGATGGAGTTCTTAAAGTTTACTGAAACAATGCATTTTGCTTATGAGCATGATGGAAAATGTGAAAATTCAGTCTCACCACAGCGCTCGTCTGGCAGTGTGTTGCCCGGACCCTGACCCCAAAGTCACACTGACCTTGTGGAACGTGTGCTCACAAACTAAAGTATCCCGAAGGTGATGCGGTGACGCACACACACATACAAACAAAAAAAATATAAGTGTAGCCAGCTATAAGGCTGTTCTGGGCACCTCGACCATTAGCTGTGTGGAGAAGCCGATTTTTAAGTTCTGAGAGCGCAAGGCGCTTAAGCAGCAGTTACTTCTTTAGAAAGAGTGTCTTTTTTGTTTGTTTCTTTCATATCAGTGACATGTTTAAGAGATAATATTGTATGCTTTCTTTTGGGTGAAGCAAAACTTGTGTATCGGCAATTTGGCAACTGCCACAGCCGACAAAACACGGTCACTCACACACTGGGTCCCAAAGCTATGTTCTCAGTACAGGGCTATAAATAGTCAAGTGGTCAATGGACCCAAGGGGGGAATAAGAAAGGAAAGGATTTTAACAGAAAATTGGTAAAATTTATAATATTCATTTTAACCTAGTGGTTTGCGCGTAGACTTTGCTAATTTTGAGGTGCTTATTACCAATATATTACATTAGACTTTTAATCTGAACTCAAAATTAGAATTTTTTTAAAGCTCCGGCTGGGCCTATGGCTGATGAGTCACCACCCAGCCCGGCTAAAATGCTGTAAACGGCCTTCCGACTGACACATCTTTTGTTGGGATGTGTTGTGTCATGTCTGTTGACACAGCCAAATGAAATTTTCACTGATTTCTTAGGAAAAAAACGGTGTTCCATTTCAAGTACTGACTTTCTGAGAGACGGACGGGAACGGGTCGGTTGGTTTCCATTCCAGTGGACATGAACCCTAAGCGTGGGTTATAGAAAATATTTTGATCTGGAAATTTTTAGATGAGTATTCCCTTTTGTGTTGTTCTTCTGACTTTGAACCGTATCCGCGACCAGTTCAAACGCCCGTGAGTTAACATGACCGGACATCCTTGGGTGAAGAGTTCACGGCTCTCACCCGTGTAGAGCTTGTAACCAAGATAGCCGATATTGGGCAGAATGTGACGCAGTGATGTGTGTGTATGTGTGTGTGTATGTGTGTGTATGTGTGTGTGTGTGTGTGTGTGTGTGTGTGTGTGTGTGTGTGTGTGTGTGTGTGTGTGTGTGTGTGTGTGTGTGTGTGTGTGTGTGTGTGTGTGTGTGTGTGTGTGTGTGTGTGTGTGTGTTCATTTCACTTTCGCCATTACTATGTGAATGACCAGGTAACTAAAAATATGAAGGCTCCTTTGTCTCTACTTTCTTCTCTGCCCCCCCCCCCCCCCCTCTCTTCTCTCTCTCTCCCACCCCCTCTCTACCTTTGTGTTTCTTTCTTTTTCACTCTTTTTTCACCCTCCTCCCTCACCCAAAAATTAGGTACTTTCAAGTAGCATTCATTCTCTTGCTCACATTAACGTAGACAATGTTGGTAAAAATAAACAAAGTGTCACACATTATACTTTCTTCCCAACAACAGAGAACCCGAACAAACCTGAGATGACTCTGAAACCAGTGTCTCCTCTTGTGTGCCTTGAATACAACCCTAAAGACTCTCATGTACTTCTTGGAGGATGCTACAATGGACAGATCGGTTGGTTTGAAGCTATAGTTTCCCAAATTTCTATATTGTTGAAGATGTATAAGAACATGAAGTAGTCAAAACCTGCTTTTCATGTTATAGTCAATGTTCACTTTTTTTACTGTGATATCCACATTCCCTTTTTTTAGGATCCAGCGTGTTCAAGAACTTTTGGTATCAAGCTTGCTCCTTTTTACTAGATCATTAGCATATCTGACTTCTGTACTTGCAAGATGATGAAGTGTGCAGTATTTCTGGGGTTTGCAAGTACAGCTGCATGATATTTTGTTAACTCCTTTTGTCTAGAAAATTTATTTCCGTGCCTGGACAGAATTTAATTTTGGTCCGTCAAAATGGAGCCACATACATAAATAGCTATGTAATTTCTCATCAAATTAAGGTACAACAGTGTTTCATACTTCATAAGAAGGGGAAATGAATGTGAAATCAGAATAAGTAAACTGCTGGGCCAAACCGTCAACCAAATTGTAATACATGGTGATAATACAAACTGGTATGAAAACGAACAGCGCCAAAAATATATGAAATTTATGAATCACCAGCAAAATAAGACTATGAATTACTAAGGAACTGTTTTTTATGTGTGCTTTGTTCTATCTACATTCTCTTCTAAATGTGCATGTCACTTTTTATAGTTAAAAAAAGAATAATTATACGCAAAGTAACAGCTGTATTTCTGTGTACAATCAGCTGAGCGAGGGAATTGTTACCATACAGCCACAAACTGGAACAATACCCGATTGAAAAATACCAGTCATACTTTGAAAGTACCGAGTTATTTTCGTTGTTTTGGGAGTAAATTATCGTATTCTACATGGCAAAATGTGACTTCCTCACCAGCAAAGACACTTTTTCGAACTGAAATTGTGAGCATATAAAATACCCCTTTTTAGCTGCATTTTGAGCGCTTAATTTTATTGTTCTATTTCTGTACTCTCGATTTTTTTTCTTTTGTCAGTCAATATGTCTATCTTGCTATTTGCGTGCTGTGAATGGCCATTATCACTGGTGCCACTGGTAGGTCTCGTTTCTTTTTTTTCCCTCTGTTGTTTCTATCTGTTTTATACTAAATGGCCATTTTTGGATCGATGTACTTCTCTTTCGTTAAATAAATGTACAATTTTGCTGACTTGCCAATTTTTTGACAAAGCTTGCTCATTCCTAAATCTAAATTTTTCCTCAGCCTACTGGGACACAAGGAAGGGCTCACAGCCTGTTGAGCTAACCCCCATTGAACAGTCCCACAGAGATCCTGCCTACAAAACCGTGTGGATAGGCTCAAAGACAGGAACAGAATGCTTTTCCACATCTACAGACGGACAAGTGCTTTGGTGGGACATCAGAAAACTAGGAGAGCCAACAGACAAGTTGTACCTGGACAAGAAACAAGAATTTCACAATGCACAAGGGGCCTACTGCTTAGAATTTGAGCAAACAATGGTAAGTTAGCTTCTTATGATTTGATTACAGCACAACAACAAAAAAGATGACATTACTTTTACAAACATACAAAATACAAATACTGAATAGTTTTTAAAATCTTTTATTTACGAAGGCTGTAAAAATTCTAAACAAATGAAGATGTTACACGGCGTACAGACACCGCTCTTTTAGTTGGCTCGGTGATGGAGTGACCGGGTCACAGTTGGCCTGGTCACACACAGCTCACTACCCGACCTCCCGCAACCTGCGTCGGTAGCCGGTGAAATGAATTTTTCAACTCTTGTTTTATCAGCTTACGCAAACAAACAGTATCGTACGTGCGCACAAGTTTGTTCTTTAGAGAAAGTAACTAAACCCTTTAATTGGTACGAAGAAGCAATACCATGGCTGCTCACATTTTGGAGTTAGATGCTCTTAAAGTGTATGTCTATATAGTTAGTTGAAACACCAAACGTACTTGAGTGGCTAATAACATATTAGCATACGGATTTACAAAACTGCTACATAAGACAGGAAAATGTGTTTAAAAACTGACTCACTCAAAATTGTGTCCCCAGCACTAACATGGAAAAACGCTTCCCTTAATTCATGGCTTTTTGTATCCAATGAAATGTGTATCCTCCTAAATAATAATACACTGACGTATCTTCAATATACAGCAGCAATTTCTTTTCACAAAATGGACATGTACAGAATATAAGTATGGTTACAATTGTTCTTTCTAAACATCCCCAGCAGCATACAATGAGGGTGCTATTTGCAGGGAAATGTGACACAAAAATAAAACGCATCGGGAGCAGGAATTCACATTTATGTTATTGTCAAAGGCACACCATATGTTCCTATTTGCTTTAACAGCTTTTTTTTAGGCTTGAATTGATTAACCATACCTTGTCTTCTTTTGAAAGTTGAAATCGTGGTAAAACACTTGACACAAATGTTAGCGGAATATGACTGTTCATCTTCATTCCTCACATCAATCCCATAAATCAAGAGCATATCTCCTGCCATTGTCTTACATGATCGGGGCTTTCTGTACTTTTTTTTTGTTCAGCAATTAAATTCAAACGCCCACAGACCCGACAAAGTTCATTCAGAGACTGTCTATTGCTCTCAAATGTGTGATGTTTTTACTTAGGAACACTATTCACTAACTCATTGCCAGTCAATGCAAAGTGCTGGAAAAACGAAATCCTCATCATTAGAAAATATGATTTGATGACTATTACACTGCTCAAACAGAAATGAACACAATCGACTCATTCTGGAATGATTTGTAATTAAATTTGAAGAGATCACATTCTCAATGGCACTTTCGATCACTTTACACTTACAATTTAAAACTGTTATTATTTCCAAATGAATCAATGAAAACTGGTGAAACTTTCACAAGATATGAAGAAGACGTAGATTGATGAAGAACTTGGTCCAGGGGGTAGAGTGAGCATCCTTTTACGGCTCATGAAATTAGGGGAAGAAACGAGTTCTGATAAGGACAAGATAGGATTGCGCTGTGCACGAGTTGACCCCGATCTATCCCCGACCTGACGCATGAAATTGCTGGTCACCTGCCGGTGATTTATGGCCTAGCGTGGGGGGCCCGGACAAACTAAAAGATCGCTGAGATGGAATATTGGATGCCGTGGTTAATGTAGCATGTGTTATTCCCACTTTTGAAGGCATCCTTTTGATATATTTTTCTGTTTTACTATGGATACATTTTTGTGTTACTGGTCTGTTTATGTCTCTTTCAAATCATGAATGTCTATTTCAAGTTGTGAATATTTATTGAGTATATGAAACATATGTTGCTAATTTTTTTTTGTCCCTAGCCGACTAAATTCATGGTCGGTACAGAGCAAGGAAGCATCATCTCCTGCAACAGGAAAGCAAAGACACCAAATGACAAAATTGCAGCCTTTTTCAATGGACACATTGGGCCTGTGTACTCACTCCAACGAAACCCCCATTTCACAAAGAACTTCCTCAGTGTTGGTGACTGGTGTGCCCGGGTAAGCAACTAAAACTAGCAAAATGAGCAAGGCAAGCTAATGAAGTTGTGAAATTTATCATGGATTTTTAAAGTAAAGACTGTAAATATTTCCAAATTGTACTTTTGGATCAGGGTTTACTCAGTTTATTTAAGAGTATTTTCCCCCAGGGTTGCAGTGTTTTATTGTCTGTATTAATTTTGATAAACATATCCGCAGGTTGCTCTATTTCTTTGTAGGCTCGGTGGTTGGGGGTATTTTTTTTTGTCAGATTGCAAAAACATATACAGTATAACACGGGTCGGTAGAACACAGAAGACTCGAAATCTAGCATCCGTCAAACTGTGCCTGCGGTCACTTTATTTTTTTTCTTTACCTTTGTAAGATATCCCTCAAATTACAGACCCCTCAAACTACTGAGGCGGGTCCTGATGAATTAGAGCCATGCGTGTTATACTGTATATGCTTTCTTCTCTTTGCATGCACAGGGAATCTTTGGTTTATTTTTGTACCTTATCCAAGTCAGGATCTTGAAAGTTGTGCAAATGGAAATACTCGTACTCAGAAAATTTCATTGGGACTGAAACCTAATTGTGCAAAATCCTATTCATTGCTTGAATTGCCATGTCATTTAGGTTGTGTTGTCATCTTTAGTAACAATGCTCTCTGTTTAGTATCTATATATTTTTCTGTCTTCTCCTATTTCTTCTCCATGTTTTCCTCCTGTTACTTATTCTCCTTTCCCTTCCTTCCTTTCCTGTTGCCATTGTCCCTTTCCCCCTCTCTTTGTCCTCTTCACACCCTCTTTTTTTCCCCCTCCCCTCTCCTTCCCCATCTCCATAACCTATCACCCTTTAAAAAAAATTCTATTTCACTTTCATTTTTTCCTTCAGATCTGGTCTGAGGACATCAGAGAATCTTCCATCATGTGGACCAAGTAAGTTTATTTTCTCATATATCTATCTGAGCTTGCCTCTTAAGTCATTTAGAAGTGTATGGTGGAAAGGTGGAAAGGCACTTCGAAACTTGAGATGTCATTGACGCTACTCTTTATGTCGCAATACACATGATAGCTTTTTTGTTTGTACCCACTATTTTAAAGAAATTTCTTTTTTTCTTTCTGCTTTTGTCTACCTCTTTTTTGAGACATTGTCTTAAGATAAGAATAATTCTCTTTTTCTTCTTCTTTGTTGTGCCCAAGGACCTTAGAACAAATATGGGCTGTCCTCTCTCTCTTCGCGGTGCCGCGGCATGGCAAGGTAAAGAGTAAAGTTGGCTGCCAACTATGGGCAGATCTCTGCGAAGTGCAATTTTTCTCATTATAGAAATTTATAGGGCTGGGCTATTATGTTGGCGGTTGGGGGTGGGGGGAATGCGCACAAGGGAGAGGGGAAAGGGGGATGAGGCTATGTTGAGAGATATGTGTGTGCTCAAATGGCAGCCTACAAGCCTGCATTTGTTGGTGTGCGGTTGGAGGGTGTCAGTTGGAGGGCGTCAGTTGGAGGGCGTCAGTTGGAGGGCCTTGGCTTACTTGATGTCCTGTCTGGATCGCTGTTTCCAGATTAACCTGTCAGTTACCTTGCTGATATGAACATATAATTTTGTAATATATATTTGTGGTGTGCTTCTCTTTTTGCTTGGTATCGTCGGAGATGGACGTTAAACTAAGAGGTCCCGCCCCTTAAAATAGGCTCGAACCCCCGGACCTGCAATCTCACGATTACGAATCGGGTAGCCTAACCACTAGGCTAGGCCGCCG